ACGTTAACAACAGGCCATTGTCCTACGTACAGCGCGTTCTGTCAGACAAGGGCTTTGAACCTGACATGGCAGCTAGTGACGTCCTTCAAAAACAGGCCACTCTATCTTGGCTGAAAAAAAATGTTTATGTTTACAGAAGACGAAATAATAGTGAAGCAATCCATGACGACGCATAAATGAACTGAACGGCATTAGGACAGGTGAGAAGTCAGGCTTCACACGACAATAACAGATGACATTACACTACTATAAGTTCGTGCTCTATAGTTCGTTTGGGTTCAAATGAAAACAATGACGTTTAATGATCGATCAAGAAACGTCAGATTTCAGATCCTGTTGGGAACAGAGGTTTCAGGACCGTGTGTCTTATTAGTAACGACTTAGTAATAAAAAACGTTGCCATACGTAGTAATTAGATATATAATACATATAATATTATGACTATTGGAATAACTACCACCCCCGCCCGACTCTCCTACCTGGGAAATGAACACAAAATAAGTAGTAATGGAGATCAGTAGGCACCTTTGTGAACAACAAATTACCTTATACATATGGTTTACTTTGGATATACACTCACACTACTTCCTCCAATAAGTCTCTTCCAAATATTGTCCTGTTTGTAAGTGTGTGTGTGTGTGCGCGCGACTCTCCTACCTGGGAAATGAACACAAAATAAGTAGTAATGGAGATCAGTAGGCACCTTTGTGAACAACAAATTACCTTATACATATGGTTTACTTTGGATATACACTCACACTACTTCCTCCAATAAGTCTCTTCCAAATATTGTCCTGTTTGTAAGTGTGTGTGTGTGTGTGCGCGCGAGTGCGTGTGTGTGTGTGTGTATGTGTGAAGGTATGATTTCACATATGTAGTGTATATATACAGTCAAGTCACAATGTATATCATTAACAATTATGATGGTTGTTTCCCGTCACCAAAAGTAAATGAAGCGTTGGTAAAATTGTCAGTTGTCTCCCTTAGCTTTTAACATACTGCCGTCTTGTTTGTGTGCACTTTAGAATATATGGTCCTAAAGCTATGTGAAGTTATGAAACATTCCTTCATTCGGGCCCGACAAGTTTTTTGCTGGGATGAACCATAAACACAGTGTATCTATATGTCCTGCTATGCGTTCAGGTGTTAAGGTCAGTCTGGCCACGTACCAACAAATCATCATCGTCACCATCATCTTACGACGCTCTGATTAATCATGTTTAAGAAAAATATTTCATCACAATGGTAGAGCACACAAAACTCTATGTATTCATGAGTTACATTTGTTGGTAATCTAATGAAAATAAAAGAGTTGAATCTGAAGCATTTCAAACATATTCCACAGGAGTAGCTTGTCCTCAAACAGACGAGAATTCATCGCCATGTATCAGTGTGTACCACAAGACGCCACAGATTATGATTACATGTTGGCAGTTTGGTTAACCAAATACGTTTTTTCAATGGGAGGCTGGTCAAATTGGATTCTAAGTTGAGAGTTTTCTAATATATATAAAGAGCAGTATTTACCTTTTAATGAATTTTGGAGGTTAGCATTCCATTGATCTGTAAGTGACTGGTCATTTAACATAGTTTTCAGCATGCGGAAGGAAGACTTTGGTACGTACACGTTGTAGGTTCTTATATTAATCCATATCTGAGGTGTGTTCCTGTCTGAACAGAAATGTGCGTGACAGAGTGTATATACAATCCCTGTATGTACCTGCATGTGTGTGTGTGTGCGTGCGTGCGTGTGCGCGTGCCTGTGTGATCGGGGAGCGTGCACGGGATGCGTCACGTGTATGGTGACATATGTCTTCGATGTGAATGTGTTTGTACGTACATATGTAAAAAGGCTTGCTATATATGGATGTCTGTTCAGACAATTATATCTGATTATCTATAATCTAAATATTTTTAACTTCTCGTAGGCCTGGTGGTCGCATGCCGGATGCCGTTTTAGTATAACAGTTTGTTTTGTGTAATATGTGTATTTGTAAATAAAATAGTGTTCTTCTCGTTCTTCTTAATAAAAAACATGACGATATCGGTTGGAACACTTGTAGTATTTGGAGAACGAAAATGATTTCATACTTCATAATGAACTGGCACAGTACCACTGTTCATGCTGCCATGTGCAGTTGAAGATACTGAGATACATACCGTGTGATGAAAGGGATCACAGAACATTATACTGTTTCATCTTTCAGTGGCATATAGAAACTAGTAAGATCATTAGGAACACATTTTATGGATTTAAACTTGCAATAATCCATAAAATGTGTTCCACTTCAACATAATAATTGCATAAATGATGCATTGATGACACATGTAATGATGAGAAATAAATAATTACTATGTTAATTAACCAGCAGCTTCAACTTGGTACATGTAGATTATATCAGTTAGATACTCAACTGACGAGGCTACTTTATCTGTTAATTTATTATCCCTCCAGGCAGGTATTTCCCAGCATTGCTTACTCACGAGGGTGATTCACTGAGGTAATATGAGCCATACTATATTATGTGATTGTATGTTAAGTAGATCTTGAAGAACAATCGACATGTGGGCAACTTGCCTGAGAAAATTCATCAATGTTATAATGCATTTTAGACGGAAGACATGCTCGACATGGACAAATGGTATACGTATAAATATAGTATTTATAAAAAAAGAAGTTTCTATTAATAGTTGCTATACAGAGAAATCAGCCTCTTTGAGATTTATTTTCTGCACACATATATAAACTATAGCGGCCCAGAGGTACAGATAAGCTGCTAATTAAAGTACGCAAATATTTATGTGAAAACTCAATTCCTATCTTTTGCGTACAAGTACGCTTGAAGTTTGTAAATATTCAATAAATTTGATCTTACATGCGTACATACAAAATAGATCAAATAACTAACGTATATTGAGAGGTTCTATTTCAGCACATGAACTTGGCAGATTGCAGTCTTTCTTATCGTTTCTCATATTACACATATAAATAACAAACATATAAACAACATTTTATGCTTATATTTTTACAATTAATGGAAAATGGCAAAATACCCAATTGAGTTTGAGTGAGGTGGGTACAATTTATTTGGTTACTCAAAGGAAAATTCGGATACCTAATTGATATGAACACAAGCGAGTATATAACTCAATGACCCAAAAAGTTATCTGTGGCTCTGACTATAGCAGTAACTTAAAGAGATGTACAATAAATCTTGACAGGTCTTTTAAATCAGAGGTTTCTTTGGAAAATAGCAGAACTTAACCCTGGCCAACTTTGGAAACCACATCAATAAATAGATAAAAGAAAGATCTAGATAGTCATGCAGTTTCAAAAGATTGGGCATCTCAAAAATGAACCTGCTCAAGCAGACCTTACCTTTTGAACTTTAAGATTGGAAATTACGGAATTATATAGACAGTAGGATGACTTATCCACTTATATAAAGTTTGTTAAATAATTAAACTAATTTGATATTTAGAAGTCAATTTATATGCCAAAATATGGATAATTGTCATTGCAAAATGAAGCATTTATTCGGGATAATAGTGGTTTTTCATATGCGGAACGTAAGCAATGTATGTTTCATCACTGGTGTGTCAGCAAGTAGAAATGTGTAGACTGTGCCAAAATGATATGTCGCTCGGTCACAATTGCATAATTTAGCTACCCGCTGTTTGAAAAAGTGCCAAAAAATGTTGTATATTTAACGCAGTATGTAGATGCTCTATTTCTTTGCAAACATGTAGAAGATAGTCTTTGCCGTATAACATAAAAAATAAATAAATCAGCATAATGTGGGCATACAAAAGCGAAGTGAATTTCATCTTCTATAGCCGAGTTACATAATGGACATATCCTTAAACGTCTCTCTATTGAAAGTCGTCTGCCCTTATTTACTGATAAGTATAACAAGCCCAATCGAAAATTGACAAATGTGCGTGTGATAATTCTAGATGTCAATACAGATAGATATAGTTCTGGTTGAATTAAGCTCTTATGTGATCTATACAACTGATATCTTGAACTATTGTCTAGACAGGAATGCCATTCTTGATAATACATGCTAACAGATTGTTCTCGAAATTTCTTAAGAAATAGATTAATATTACCAACTGTTTCATTTAGCCACACAAATCCAAAGCCATGAGAAAATAAAAGATTTCCAATATGAGAGGCCCATGTTGTCTTACCCCTCTCATCTAAATGTACAAGCATGTTATAAGCTAGTTTTGGGATTCTTTGATTCAGGTAGGTAAGGAACGGTTCAACCATCGTCTGTAAATGGAAGATACAAGAAACACAAATATGTTGTCACAGTAGTTTTATTATATGCATTAGTCAGTGAACCGTATGAGGAAATACGGAAGTAGGTACATGGCATGTGGCAAATCTCCAGGATATGGTCTATTTTATGACATGATGAAATCCACACCTCTCCACTTGGATGCAGTAGGTACTTTAACAATTAAAGAGAAACAAATGATTTACCAGGCATGTGAATTTCTCATTGTTGGTGAATATGTGAGATCGACCAAAACAGATGAACTGAAATATGTTTTATAGGTCACTTTTTAAAAGTTCCCACAGCTGTCTAAGACGGTGATCGGAATAAAAGTCATGGGGAAAAAGGTCATCGGAAAGAGACTATTATAAAATACCCTGTTCTCCAGTTATTTACTTTGTTTTTACTGAATTTTATAAATACTATTTCACTTTCATCATCAATAATAAAAACATCCTGTTCTCCAGTTATTTGCAAAAACTAATTCAACAACAACTGTTTTAAAAACGTCCTGTTCTCCATTTACTTTGTTTATAGTGTATTTTATAAATACTATTTCAGTTTAATTTTCAAATATTCTTCAGTAATAAAAACATCCTGTTCTCCAGTTATTTACAAAAACTATTTCACTTTCAAGTTAATTATTCCTTTCAGTGTGATGCTGTAAGCAATTGGATCTTATCAAAACTTTTTTGAGTTCATGACTTTTTTTCCTATGACTTATTTTCCAATCCAAATCCATGACTTTTTTTCCCAGGACATTTTTTCCTAAAACCCCACAGAAAATAGCAATGTCTGTGTATAGGATTGTATTAAACTGCACAGTGCCATTCCAGTTTTCAATATGTATACGGCGATCTGACGTTTAGCAGGACATATCAACAATATCGAGCTGAAATCTGAAGTGATCCAGAAATTTAATCAGGTGAGTAAGTCTTACGGGTAGTGTAAGATTTGCATCAAGTGGGTGGAAATTCAACAGAGCTTCTTTATCAGTTGTGAGGTCTTTAGTCATGACAACACGAACATCACGTGCGCTTCCATGCATCAGAGCGAATGGTGTCAGACCGCCCGCCGAAACATGTAAGATGGCTGCCATTTCGTCTTGTGACCCGAAAGAAAAATTCCTGTAAGCTTTTAGCTTGAGCCGAAGTCTTTTCAAATCCAGATCATTTTGTTCGTCACAGATAACCAAGTAAAAATGACCTCTTCTATCTTTGAGAAACAAGTTCTTGCAGAAAACCTCACCTGTACAGACGTGCCTGTCTCTCCGGGGTTTGTATGGAACCGGTTTGGACTGAACGCCAAACCCTAACAGCAAATTCATCAGATCCAGAATACCTGGGTGGCTTGAGGATACATCACCGTCATCGATGGTATTTGTGTCCGCAATGTTGACAGGGGCAAATTCACCAAGGTTAGAGATACATAGAGCTGAGGAAACACCAGGAGGTTGTGAGAATATCATATTGTATCCCCGTCTGTGAGGCCCACAGCAAGTCCCGCTGTCTGGGACTTGCCGTAAGCCGGGCGTTGCCATCTGTACCCCTTCACTTCCCATGACATCTTCTGATATCCCTGGAGCCTCCTCGAGACTCCTCATTGGACAGGTCATCTCGGCACTGGGGCTCGGTTGGTCCTCAGATGTGGCTGAGCCCATCACATTACGGTGTGTCTGTTGTCGATCATGGCCGCATTGTGTGAATACCATATTGTGTCCCCATCCCCGTCTGTGAGGCCCACAGGAAGTCCCGCTGTCTGGGACTTGCCGTAAGCCGGGAGTTGCCATCTGTACCCCTTCACCTCCCATGACATCTTCTGATATCCCTGGAGCCTCCTCGAGGCTTCTCACTGGAGAGGTCATCTCGGCACTGGGGCTCGGTTGATCCTCAGGTGTGGCTGAGCCAATCACATTACAGTCTGCCTGTTGTCGATCATGGCCGCATTGAGATTCCTCGGTCTGGAACCAGGACTTGAAGAGGATACGACAGGACAGCTTCGGTCGCCCGAAGTGCCTGGCCACCTCCACTGAAGCCATCGTGGAGGTAAATTGGTGGATGACATATTGTCATCCCTCCCATCTTCACAGGACAGACTCGTCGCGTCATCTGTGATAAAACATAAATATATTATTACTGAGTTTTATATAGGCAACATATTCACAAGAGACATACTTCGATACACATGCGTTTTGTGGCACATATACAGACTAAGTGACGTTTTGTGGTACATACACAAATACGTCTTGTGGTACATACACATGTTTTGTGACATGTCATATGGTACATATATAATATGGCTTGTGATACACAGATAGCCTTGTGGTATACAGGTATGTATTTTGACGGCCCTAACACAGAAACTAGGAGTACATACGCGGTAAAACGGTTCTGAGGTTTGGAGCAAGTCAATAAATACACAAAATCTCAGTTTTATCGTAGACTGCAAAATCAGCTTACCGCCACAATCTGCCCCACAAATTGATATGTAGGAATCCCGCGGGTTTATGTGGAAACTGCCGGGGAATTACTGCACTACTGGGTCTGCATACTGTGTCCACGGTGTTACTGTCACTTCCTAGTAGCCCACCATCGTGATTCGTATCTCACTTGTTCATGGTTGAAATGCGTCCGTAAAATTATCAAATATGTCGACTTGGGAAATATCTTCAACACATAGTTCGATGTTAGGTGAGCTTGGACAATCCAGTCACAACGTTTACTTCTTCATGTTGATACTGCCGTCCGTTACTAAGTGATCGCTCTGTGGTGATCTCTCTGACTGCTGAACGACACTGACCGCCGAGCTATATATAGGACTGTCTTCCTTCACAGGTGACAGGTCGATAAATTATATAGTCAGCTGAAAGTCTATAACAGCCCGGTGGTGAGATATTCATATCCTTTAGCACTGGTACCCTGTATTCCAAACATCTGTAAAACAACATCAGTGCAAATATACTGTAATACCCCTAAAACAGACTCTCGTGATAGTGCCTTATCCATTTGCACCGCCTTGTGGTTCTAAATTTAGAAATGAGACAGGGGTTTGCAGTGGTATTTCATCAGCTATTGCGAAACTGCCATGGAGCCAGTTGTCTCCCTTACTACAGCCGCCGCATCGTGGTGAACTGATAATGTCGTGCCCTGTAAAAGTAACTTGTCTACCGAATATAATGATAAGGTTTGTTTTTTAAGTGTATGAGTTTGGACGTAAACGCACCAACTGGCCGTGTCCATATTCCGTACGTGGACTCCATGCGTATGTAATAACCAGTGTGAAGTTAATATTAGTTAAATTCCTCATACAACCAGGAGCCGGGCACTGCAAGATCTACCACCAAGGTTCGCTTTGATGATGTTTGCCATTATAATAGCTTTACAGACGTACTTAAGTACACATGGCTTCATACATTCAATCATTCAATGTGTGTGTATGTGTGTGTGTGAATTGTTGACCTGGTGCCTGCCAGATGTTATGTATTTATGCCAACTGTCAGCTGGATACGGACTGCGTCCAGTACCACTATGAACCTGTCGGTTGTATTCTGGGAAATGGAATGTCACACTCTATATCTTTAAGTTTTCAGTCATTTTGACTTCTGCCACTCTCTTTTTTCCATATTGTTTTAGATCTTAGCGCTGAGGTGACTCACATACTTTAACGTAACGTTCTTGGCGACCAGGCTGCTTTGTGCAAGGACCAGATGAGAAAGTACCGAAAAGCAGTTGCTTAGACCTAAGAATAGCAAAAATCACACCTAAACAAAAGCACATTCTATTTTTAAAAAGGAGTAAACCTCAATAAATTACCAATTCAAGTCTGGCACGGTCAAACATGATATTCACAGTCTAACTTGGAAATCGGAATATTTTTGCCCTTTATGCTTTTAGTTGTAGGTTGTTTAACAAGTGGTGAGACTGACCACACGATGCCCGTCGATAACATAAAGACCGTCAGCGAAGAATGTTCTGACCAAGATCAGTAGGTGTGTTCGTTGTTCATTTCAAAGTTGAATTTAGAATATTACAAAAATACGTTTGTTGTATTTTATGGCCAGCTTGCATTAAGATATAAGCAATTATATACTAAGGAAATCTGTAGAATTTTAAAAAAAAAATCTACTTTCTAGAATTTCATTCAGACTACCAGATAAGATATCCCATACGTGTTTCACAAAATATACGTACTTTTTGACGTAAGCAGCCCGAGTTCCCACAATTATTGTCATTATAATGACAGGTGGACCAGCATTAAAATGTGGAAAAAACTATAACATCCACATACAATCAGTGAGTGCCCTTTATTTTTTTTATAGTGTTCAGATTTCATATGCCATCATATATGTTTCTTGAATGAATGTCGAAAATGTGTTGGTAAAACAAGTATATAAGAAATGTAAAAATATAACACATGAATTTCTAATATTTATTACAAGTAAAATCTAACATAAACTGTCCAAAACGTAGGAAACTGCGTTTAATTTATTATTTTCTTCGGTTGAGGCTGACGCCTCGCACAATGATTTTACTTAAGTTATTAATAGCCTGGTTGAACCCCGAGGACTGTCTGATGTTAGCTTCCATCCCAGCTCACCTGTGGTCTGATAGAAACAACTACGTCTTACAAATACTTAGGAGTTTACTTTACAAACAACCTATCGTGGTCCTTACATGTCAGAAATGCATCGATGCAAGCAAAGAAAATACTAATTGGTATTATTAGATATATTTATATTCTAGGTGACTTGTCACACAAATCATATTTTAGAATCTTTGATGCTAAGATTAGTCCTATACGTCTATATGGTTCTGAGGTTTGGGGACTACAAACATTTGAAAAAGTACATTTATATGCAATAAAAAGATCCCTTGGGGTTAAAGTTACTACTTCAAACATAATGGTTTATTGTGAATGTGGTAGGTTTCCATTATTTGTTGAATCTAAAATGAAAGTAGTAAAATATTGGTTAAAAATCTTAAATATGCCATCTTACAGATTACCCCAAAAATGTTACAATATGATCATTTTGTACGATAGAAATTGAAAACGTAATTGGGTCACAGATGTCAAAAATTTGCTATTTTCTGCTGGTTTCGGTAATATATGGCTAGAACAGTGCATAGACTCGCATCCAAATTTTCTCATATCCATTAAACAAAGGTTACAAGATATATATCTCCAGACTTGGCTTGACCAATTATCTGTATCAAATAAATGTTTCTATTACAGAATGTTTAAGCAATCTATATACAATGAAACCTATCCATCATCTTTGAATGTAAGGAAATATAGAATCACGCTTACAAAATTTCGTTGCTCCTCCCATGATTTGTTAATAGAAACAGCTAGATATATTGGAATAAAACAAGACGATAGAATATGTAAAATGTGTGACTTGAATCTAATTGAAGATGAATATCATTTTCTTTGTTTGTCCAGCCTACCACAATTTAAGAAATAAGTATATTAAGAAATATTACTTTGAAGATCACAATATTTATAAATTTATATCTCTGTTAACCTACTCTAGAAAGGAACACCTGGAAAAGTTGTCAATGTTCCTATACCATGGCTTTCTACACAGGAGAAATGTACTCTCTACTGCCTAATAACAATATAGTCAGTATACATGTACCCTGTGTCCTCTTAAAGACTTGGGACTAGATATTCCCGGACGCCAGCACGTGTAGTCCATTTTGTTGTGGCAGGTCACGTGGCAGCCATAAATAGTGTCCTGTGTGGCACAGTGTCCGGCAAATACAACCTCTGTCCTGTTCGTATATTTCACAGATATGCTGAGTGAATATTGAATGTATGCTAAATGTACATATAAACTTCGTAGACAGTTGTGATGGATGTATTTGTCCCACGTGGTAGGTCATAATAACGGATTGCAAGACCAGATTCATACCAGACACCGAGGACACCGAGGACAATGCTTGTGTCACTATTAGATCAGTGTGTTCAACAGTTTGGGAGCAGTTTGAAGCTGACATGATATGACTGGAGTGTTCAACAATTTGGGAGCACTTTGAAGCTGACATGATATGACTGGTTCCCTGTGCAACTATTGTCGCTGATGCTACTGGACATCGCTGATGATGCGGTTATTGTAGATTTTACGATCGCTTCTGGAGGTCCTGCAAGCGGGCCATCGTAAGGAACAAACCCGTGAACAGATGAACAGGAAATGTATTTTAGGGCTCCTCTGGGCAGCAGACCTATATAGTCTGTTTGCAACGAAAACGTACCGATGAATTTCAATTGAAACCAAAAAGTAAAACAAATAAAGTGAAATTACGACTGCGAATCCTCATAATTTTACCTTGCCAATTGAACATTTAAATCTCAGAATTATATTCAACTTAGGATAAAAGTTGTTTAACAAACGATCATAGTTTCACATCGCTATTGTTGGTTTGTATTACAAGGGGGTATGCACATCAAATGAAACACCGAGAACGACAAGGGTTGTTCTAAGTTAACGCTCTTAACGTACCGCACGTGCATTTGTTTCACTGTTCCAACTACTGCGCTTACCCCATTGTAATAAAGAAAGAGAGAGAGGAGGAGGAATACGAACCCCCCTTGAAAATGACTTAAGACCACATTGAACCCCCCATCCCCCCAACCCCTTCTCAAAATTTCTGGATCCGCCCATGTACTCCCCTTAACAATCTCTAGGCTCTAGGCCCAATAGCAAATATCAATAGCAAGTTTGACAGCAAATATCTCAAGAACTAATTGTTCCAACACTTCCAAATCTCTTGTACAGATGCACAATCGAATTCCCAACAATTTTGCCTGGACGGGTCAAGTCCCTTAAACGTACACTTTGGCAGTTATTTTTGTTTTCAGTTTTTGGCCATGTTTTTCAGCAGTTTTCTGAATAGTTTGCTCCCAAAATGTGCAAATTCTGAACAAAAACAGAACACTAATTGTTTTGACCGTAGATCCAAGAACAACTGAGATACAGCCTTTTAAAGAGGGAACTATTTCTTCTCCGGAACTTCTTAAAAGGTACATCAAACCCGCGACCCCGTGGGCTGTATTTGGAAGATCCGCTCGCCTGTCAAAAACGTGTTCTGGCTCCGTATTGGACGATGATTTCTAGCCCTCATACAATAGATAGAACTAAAGCCAAGGAGCCCTCATCGTTGCCTGTAACTATATTTAAGAGATGTAATTATACCCAAACCAATTTAATGAAAACCTTTAAGGGTTTAGAATGAGTATGATAATTAGGAAAAAGTAATGAAGATATATTTTGGAATGTGGGCGCATCCGACGAACTGATTGTGCGATTAGTAGTTGGGCTCTTTGATCCTATATTTTATTTGGGTTTAATCAGGCAATTGTCCAGATGATAACGAAGGTTTCAGTGAAGGGTTGTTGTTAATTTCTCCGCGAACTGTCGTTATATGTACGACTATTTCTGGGGTGGTGGCTCCTGTGCATAGAGCCCAGGTCATAAACTAGTTGAAGTTAAGTGGCGTTGGTCGGTGACAGTCCTTGGATGAGTCTCACCCATGGCAAGTGAGTTTGTTCAAGAATTGCCCTTTGTTCATCCAGCAGTGAATGGTACCTGATGAGATAGGTTTTACGACTGTTAACCTTATTGCGCCTTACATGCAGCTTGGGTTAACTGGGGAAATAACGTGTTACCGCCTTGAGCATGCACAAGTATTAGGATTTATTTATTAAAAGCCTATATTGATATTAATATTGATATCAGGTGTCTGTGGTAGTGACTGCGTCTGCGGTCTGGTTCGGGTGACCTGTGTGGGGTCTGGTTCAGGTGACCTGTGTGGGGGTCTGGTTCAGGTGACCTGTGTTGGGTCTGGCTCAGGTGACATGTGTGGGGTCTGGTTCAGGTGACCTGTGTGTGGGGTCTGGTTCAGGTGACCTGTGTGTTGGGATCTGGTTCAGGTGGCCTGTGTGTGGGGTCTGGTTCAGGTGACCTGTGTGTGGGGTCTGGTTCAGGTGACCTGTGTAGGATCTGGTTCA